CAGTCTCATAAAGATACATGATGGAAAGAAATACATTCCATTGGCCAATAGCTCTACTGCCTATATTGTGATGAAATTTGTATAGCCTGTGGAAAAGTACTGGTTTTATTCAGACTCCAGCCATTTAAACTGTGTGAGGGAGATCAGGTGTGCCATAGAACCTTCTCATCTATTACACAGCCCCTTGTTTTAAGTGTGATCAATCGCCAAGTACAAGTATCCTATTTCACAAAAAGGGTTTGGAAGTGAAGAGCTGCATTTAATAGGCTGTAAGTCCCCTTGGGGGTTGTCTTACTGATCAGGAAATGGGGTGGAAGAGAGGACTCACTTCTGTACTTTCTTTTTAACTTCCTGTTTTGAAAGCTTTCTCTACATGGACTGAATTTTACCATTTTTGAAACGAGTAAGCATAATGTTTCTCTGTGGAAGTGATTGGATATGTTTGAAAATAATATTTTGTTGATGCACTATCTGGATCTGAGGAAAACTAGAAAAAGACTGACCATCAATCTAGATAGCCTGGGTACCATCCAGATTTTCACTACGCAATGCTCGAAAAAAATCTCGTGATTTTTTCGAGCGTTGCGTAGCAAAAATCCAGATGGTACCCAGGCTACAATCTAGACAATGTACCTGATTTAAACACCATTGAACCTTTTTATCATAAGATTTTACTATAATAGTTACATACATTGTGTCTGGAACATTGGAGAAAAAAAATGGTACTTGGAAATGTAGATTGTTGGAAATGACAAGAAAGACTTTCTATCTAGGGATGTCTAATAGTATTTTTTTTAAATTTTTTTTTAAACGGTATCGCTCAATGCAAGGCCAATTATATTAATTTGGCCACTTCTAGGCATAGAGCTAGAGGTACTTAGGGGAGTATATTGTAGCTATGTCAGGAGATGGCGGTGGACCTTTGTTTTGAAGCTTTGTGGATTGTAATCGGACGGAAAGCAGCTGTTTGGAAGAGAGTTCCATAACTTGTTTTGCAGTCCGGGGAAAGAAGCTGTTGTTGTAATATGACTTGGAGACAGGTATGTTAACGGTGTATTGATGAGAACTGGAAGAGAACCTAGTGGCACGCTGAAAGGTTCTGAGTGGAGGAACAAGAAGTGCAAGTTCTCCTGAACATCGACCGTGAAAGTATCTGTAAAAGAGGGATAGACATGCGACATTGCGTCTGTGTGAGAGGGAATCCAGCTTTGCGGCCAGAGAGTGGCCAGAGAGTATTGACTATATTTTCTTGATGATTAGATAACAGATAACTGAGCAACTGTCCCAAGCAGCAACTCAGTTGCCACACTAGTCAGATTCACACACTATGCTGTTTATTTCACCACACGCACTCAACATTTCTCAAGACAGGTATTGAGTCACAGACATCCACTGCTTTTCCATAAATTCCCCCCTTCCACCACAAAATTATATGCAATCAAAGGTAGTCTAATAACAGGTCATTAACATGTAATTACAGGGTTTAAGAATTAGGTTAGACAAGACCAGACAATGCGCACATTATGATCATATCTTAATGTATGTAACAGACAGGAACTACAAATTTTTAAGCTTAGGAGGTGGTATTTATGCATAGTAGCAAAAATGCAGAGTCATTTTTCCAGTCATATGAGACAACTGAGTTGCAAGAGGATGTACATGGCAAAATCTTTGTGAAATGAGATGCCTACTTGTCTTACTATAGTGCAGTGGCGACCCTGTCTCTGGACCAAGAGATCTAAAGTTTGAATCTCAGGACTCACCCGACATGCAAACGCTGCATGGAAAGGGTTAACTTTGTAGTCCCTAGGATGGTCTACTGTGTAATGCACTTGCCCATCAAAAGAGCTATACTGGAATTTCTTGGTACGATGAACCAGGGTGTATCTTATTAACTGTACATACCGTCTGTGTCTTTCCTTGTCACCACCAGTGGAGAATTTAGCTCTGCTCCACTTTCACCATCATGGCTTTTTAATTTGGTACACGGGGTCCGGAAAGCAAGATGATTAGCTGGCACCAGATATAGCGGCAGACACATCTGTATGTCTGTATGACCAATTCAAGGACAGGCGT